AAGTTTCTGTTAAGTACATAACGTCATTCATGGGGCACTAATTCCTGGCATATCTTACCAATAGTTGTTTGTGCGTTTTTGTAGGGCTGTACCCAAATATTCGGATATTCGAATATTCGTTTCTATGGGTAGGTATTCGTTATGAAAATTTGGTATTCGATATTAGTTTTTTAATTTACTTTTTTAGTCTTTTTGTTGTTGGTAAATGTAGGTTATCAATAAAAATCAAAGTTTTTAAATTGCACTGTTAAAAATGTGAAAATATAGTATTGCCTACCAACGGAGCTTGTGCATGGCACACTTGAGCGCATCCGTCTGAGGTTGTGGATCAATGCCAAGTTTTACCACTTTATCACTATTCCCTCTAACTTGTAGCTGTTTTTTTCGTTATCTTTTGAATTTAATATGAATTATGGAACCGTTTTTGTCAACGTTTGTTTCCCCCGTTTTGTACAATAAATTATTGTTTAAAGTTTCAACAAGTTCCTTTTGGAGTGCATGACACAAGTGTGTTTTGAAAACGGCCGCAGACTGTCACCTGCTCAACGCATCAGTACCTTCAGATGCCATGACAGTAATAGCCAATAATGTCAAAATATCATTTACAGACCGATTTAACAGACGACCACTGCTGCCTGACCCGCAGGTCCATTTGCGGGTCCCGCGGGTTACGGGTCGACCCGCGCATCACTACTCAGCTCAGTCTATAAGGCTGTACACAACAGTAAGGCTATAGACATTATATTCTATTCAGGCCGGCAGAACCAGCAGCACATCGGCTCTACAGTGCACGGCACTGCTGATTAACCATTTTATTGCAGCACAGTGTCTGCCAGCAACCAGTTACTTGCAGAGGCTTCCTACAACTTGTTTCAACGGTTCCGGTTTAATCAGAAGACAAATTAAACAGGATGACTAGCCAATGTGAAAATCAAAAGAAAGCATAGAATAATGTACTGAAGGAGACTGTTGTGCCATCACATTTTTTTGTGGTTTTGAGAGCAAAGATCTGGTCGCCGCTGTGCAACCCTCACTCAGTATGATATTTTTTCTGCCTGGTGTGACTATTAGTTTCATCATTACACATTTGTGTCATTTGTGCAACGCATCTGAGAAGCAGCTTGCCTCATCTTGATGACCTGAGCCAGAGCAATCATGTTAATGCTGACATACCACTCTATTTTGCTGCTAATGAGAGGAGTAAGTGTTATACATCTGTCCTGATTATGCAGCAGAGAAGTGAAAGAAGACGAGATACGTAATAAATTTAACCCACTCATTGACACTCATCTACAAAGCCCTAACAAGGTGGGAAATCCTCGGTAATCTCTTTTTTCCCCTTTCCTCTGGAGTTATTTTTGCTTGCATTCTTTTTATTTTCTCCCAACACCCTCTCTCACAGTTAGACTGACACATACCGACACACTACAACGGGTCAACTAACACCAAATCCTGCTTTTTTTTTATCGCAAACATACCTTATTACTAAAAATATCTGGTCTTATAACAATGGTGTCTTGCTGCACAAAATGCTTCCTCTAAGGTTTTTTACACAACACATCTTATGTCATCTTGGATGTTGTCGTATTGCACCAAAAAGAGAGAGGTCACAGGAGCAATGAAAGATAAGATGAGTACTTAAAAATGTAATAATCTTTCTGTTCATGATGTTGAATCTGTTGATATTTCTATTTACGAATCATGTATTTTAAAGTCCAATGCACTACAAGGACAGAATCAACGTCTTAGTCTTTGTAGTGGATAACAAAGAAATGAGAACAGATAAACTGCAGATGTGAACTGAATGTCAACGCTCATCCAGGGTGTCCACACCAACTCCTTTTGCCCATTACAGGAAACAAATCACTTGATAGTTTGGAGGTTTTATCACATGATGGATTTTTTTTAATTGCATTGCTCCAAAGATTCTAGATCAGGGTCAGTTGTCTGTTTGTTTTTTTGACAAATTTACACCCACACTCAGTGTGTTACTTCAAAGCCCCTTTCATCCATCTTTCATTATGCTATGTAAATCTATCAATCTGCCTTAGGTTGTTCAGTGGATTTACTGCCTTATAATAAGGTCAGACGCCGTGTGTGGAATAGCAGTAGGATGGCTGCAAGTGTCTGTCATCCCAGCTGATTACTACCACTGCTGGATCTTAGTGGCTTTGTAAGATGAGAGCACCCGTGGAGGGAGAATGTCAGCGGTCGCAAGCTGCAGGAATCATACTGTCTGTTGATGAGAGACAAATTTTCAAATACAGTGTCATATTTAAAATATCTCCCAGCATGCTCAAATACCTGCTGTGAGTCATTGTTCACCAACTTGCCCCCTACATAGTGCACATGGAAGGTGTCAGTGTTACTTTTCATTCTACTAATTAACTCAATTATAGCACTATATATAGATCATTGTGCCGTAATATGTTATGTCACAGGTTATGTATCCTATAGGGATAAAGGCTGCACTCCTACATATGGACTCCATATGTTTTAGTTACTTTGGAGGACATTACAGATCAAATGTTCAATGATGATGACATTTATAGGAAGTGTTACATATTATATGCTCAAGATAACAAATTGGCAAGAAAATTCCCAGCCCAGTAGCCCCAGTCAATGATTGCGTCATATGTTTCATGCATATGTAATAGTTCAGAGTACAGGAGGGGATGGTAGATGGCATAACACCTAAGTGAGATGGCTGCCAAGCAGCAGACAGCAGCAGACCACTGTTAGAGACCACAGAAAGCAGGTATTCTTTAATAATAGTTTGGGACATGTCCAGCCATGTTTGTAGTGACAAAAACTGGTCTTTTTTAACAATGATTCTTAACATTTACACTTGTGTTTGTAGTGACCAAAGTGGGCATTTTTTTAATGAGATTTCAGGACATATCCAGCTGTGTTTGAAGCCACAAAAGCAGGAGTTTTTAATGTCAGGTTAGGACATGTTCTGCCGCCGTTTTTTTTAAATTCCAGGAAATTTCCAGCTAGGTTTTAGAGTGACAAAAATGTTTTGTTTTGTTTTGTTTTTTTAAAAAAAAAAAAAAAAAACAACAGTTCGGGAAGAATGCAGCCATGTTTGTAGCAACAAAAATGGTTATGGTGATGAAACGGTATTTTTTAACAAGTCTAGCATTGTTTGTAGCGACCACATTAGGTATTTTTTAACAAGAGTTTGGGCCATTTCCAATTGTGTTTGTAGTGACAAAAGCAGGTATTTTTTTAAAGAGAGTTTGGGACTTATCCGGCTGTCTTTGTGGCAACAAAAACTGGTCTTTTTAGACGAGAGTTTGAGACATACTTAGCTGTGTAGCAACAAGAGCAGATATTATTTTTAACAGGGGTACAGGACATTTCCAGCAGTGTTTGTAGCAGCAAAAGCAGGTATTTTTCAATAAGAGTTATGGACCTTTAAAGCCCTGTTTGTATTGACAAAAGTAGATCTGTTTGAACTACAGTTGAGAACCAGTCCAGCCATGTTTGTAAGGTCAAGAGTCGTTATGTTTCCAGCTGTGTTTGTAGCGATAAAAGCAGGTGGAGAAAAGTTTTTCAGTGACAAAAGCAGGTATTCTTTAATAATAGTTTTGGACATTTCCAGCTGTGTTTGTAGCAACAAAAGTAGGTCTATTTAAATGACAGTTTGGGACCAGTCCAGCTGTGTTTATAGTGACAAAAGCTGGTATTTTTAACAAGAGTTTTAGACATTTCCAGGCGTGTTTGTAGGGACAAAAGCGAGTATTTTTTGAAGATATTTCGGGACATATCCAGCTGTTTGTGGTGACAGAAGCAGGTGTTTTGAACAATAGTTTAGGACAGTGTTTCCCAACTGGTGGGTGGTGGTTCGAAAGTGGGTCAAGTTTGTAAAAAACACTTTATTTTTTAAACATTATTCCAGACATTTCCAGCAGTGTTTGTAGTGACTAAAGCAGATGTTTTAAGCCAAAAAATTATGTTTTTGTAACCCTAACCAAGTGGTTTTGGAGCCTAAACCTAATCACACATTAACCACAGCGTTGTCACAACATAAAACTGTAATTTGAACCGTAAAGTTGAAACATATTCTCAACATATGAAACTTACAAATGTTTGCAGAGAACATACAGTACCATCATTTATTCCACCGAGGGGCTGCAGGGTTGTGTTCAGATTATGTCAAGTCACTATTGCAATCCTTTTTCCATTTTACAGGCTCTTTTGAGAAATCTGAAGTACGAATTTGTTACTGATATTTAATGATTCTCAGAATGCTGCTGTCAATCCAGCTCCTGCTTGTAGTGTTTGGTGAAACATTGTGATAACTGTTGCTTTCATGTCCCTATCATACATTGCTTGTGTTCTATGTTTTCTAATGGACTCTGACAATAAAGATGAACTGACTGATTCTGAATATTTGAAACGGTTTCAATACTCATTTCTGGAGGAACTATAAACCACCCCAGCTGCGTTTTCTTGCTTTATCTTATTGTTAATGTTTTCTGCATTCATCCGTCTTTACTCTGCCACTAACCAAGATAATACTGGAGGCTTGTTATATTTATCTTCTATTAAAAATATTTAACTTGTACGCCATCAGTGTCGAATATCAGTGTTTTCCGAGGTACCTGTTGTATCACACCGCAGTGTCTCCCCACAGCAGGATTAATCGGGTGCACACACCCACCACACGAACCTGCTCCCCGCCTCACTTTGGAAACACTTGACAAATATTTCTAAGTGTCGTCTTTGAGTTTTAGAGGAGGGATAAGACGATAGAAAATATTAGACGGCAGAGACTTCTCTCACTTTACCCTCTTTATGCGTAAAGTTTAGTCACCAGCCTTCTTGGTCAAATGTGCGTAAAATGGAAAAGTGCAATTTAGTGCTTTTTAGTCCAAGTCTCCAAGTATATTTCACTCAAGTGTAACTGAGCCAGCAGTGGTAGTAACCCTCTGCTCGCTATGGCATTTAATTACATCACTTAATCGCAGCATTACGCGCCGCGTTAAACTCACCTATAACAAGCAAATAGCAGCCCGTGCCGATGTCCATCGCTGGTGACAACGTGGAGGCGTAAATATCCATTAGAACTGTGATCAGTGCAGGCAAAAATGATAACAGATTAAAAGAGATCCGGATGGAGAAGAAATCAAAAAGTGCCGCTGTTGATGCGCTCCGGCGTCAGATCCATCTGTTCTCAAGTAGGGAGCTGAGACACAAGAGGTCCTCAGGGCGCAGCGCAGAGCGCTGCTTGCGTCCTCTGCTGCAGCTGAAGCCTGTAGCTTGTGTAAGGTGCGTCTTCACGGACATAACGTCCAAGGGGAGGGCTACCATCCAGTGTCTCCACTGACTGCTGTGTGACTGCCTGCAGGACTTCTTAGGTCTGTCAAGTGAGGGGAGGAGAGGAGGCTCTAACTTAGTGGATTACCATTTTATCATCTTCACATTTAGAACATAAAAATGTGTTAAAAGAACATTAAAGGCAGTCTCTTGTTGAAAAAAATTCATTTATTAAACATTTTTTTGCAATTATGCTGCTGCTATCTCATAGTATGGTCCCTGTGGATAATTGTATTACAGCCTATATTTTATGCTGTATGATCTTTTTTGGTTCGGAGGGCAGCTGCTGGAGTTTGGCTCCTTCATGTAAAGGCTGGCAAAGACAAGGATATGTTATCTGTGATGCCCTGGGCTCAGTTATAGATTTTAGTGTCGGGGAAATGAATAATTCATGCACTCATTATAGCTTTATGTTGAGTGTTTCTATTTTGGCTTTTATTTTTCTGCTTATATTAAATGTCAAGTGTGAAGAATTTGGGGGTTTGGGCTGGTGAGGCTTTGTGGGATAATATATATTCAAATTTCTAAGCTCCTGGCTGCAGCAATGTTTGTCGCCTATAATGTCCAATAGGATCACCGTTCAAGCAGTCAGTTGTAGGACACAATGTTCCCCAGGTGGCAAGAAACTATTTTCTGTATCTTTTAATTCCGTGTGCCTTGACAATATTCGTGACTAAAGGTCTCTCCAGTCAGGTGTACCCGTGTTACTGCAGGGTCACTGCACTATGATGGGCTTTGGCAGCTTGAGGCTGAAATTGCTTCTCTATTTTTTCCCATAGCTGCACCTCAGATCACACTAACTTGTAGCTGTCAGTCACTGCAAATTGAAATCTAATTCAGTTACATGCTGGAGGATTCCACTTAGCTTTGCATCAACAAAGCCCCCTTTTCTTCTTCCTTTGCGTCATTGTGGACACTTGCAATAGGAAATCCATTGTGGAGACTCGATGACCCACACTGTCCAGACAGTCTGTCAGAAATTATGCCCGTGATTATCAGCCAGGTGCTGAACAGAGTGCAGATGTGAAGTGTTACTGCTGTGTAGGACTGCGTGAGTGTGAAAAGGGGACAGCATGATAATTTCAGTAATTGCTGGTATTTGGAGGTGACAGGTGTCGATTGGAGTGTTGTTTGTCGGACAAAAGGTTGAGATAGCCACAGGGGAAGGTGTTAATCATATGTTAAAGTGTTAATTTCACTTTCATAAAGGTCAACAAAACACAAGTCTGACATCACTTTCACCTTTTCGAGCTAACTTATTTACAGTCCACGCTTCTCACAGAGACACATGTTTATCCTGAAGATCTGTGATGAATGGATTTCTTGTCTTGTTAGAAAACCTTTACAAAACCTCCTCTGAGTATGTTGGGACTTGCATTATCTACATCGTTGCAGTCGTCTTCCTCTCCCCTCTTATTGGGCATTGAAACCCTTTATAAGACCGAGTGTTGCTGCCCTCTTCATTTGGGGTAGGGGCGAGACTGACAAATGGGCCCTCCCACTGATCAGAGGATTCAACAAAAGACACTTCAGTATAAAAACATTCAGGAAACAGCTCTATGCACTCCTCATCTGCCACCACTGTCCTGAGAGCTGTTGTCAATAGTTTAAAGATGCTTTCAAAGGAATTCTTCACCTTCAAAATGACCCCTTGTACATCAGTCACTCACTCGTGTACGTTGAATTCATAAACACATGCCTCCATGGTGAACAAAAAACAGAGAAAATTCTTGATGACTTTATAGGCGTCCATATTTAACAGCAGCAAAACTGTATCAAAAATATCTGTTCACAAACTCTCACTCAACTTGTGCAGTATAATCCAAGTCTCATTTATCCAGTCGTATGCTCAGTACTTCCTAAACACACAGCTCTTTTCAACCGGGAATGGAAAGTAAAAATTAATGGAGTCTGGCCTTGAAGAGTGTATAGATTGACAAAAATGGTAATTTAAAGCTGCAGTAGGTAGAAAGCCTGAAAACGGTTGATTTTTGAATCCCATCTGAGTTAGGTTTCATTTGTCTCCGCCCTGAGCCCCTCCTACCAGACGAGCACGCGAGTATTTTATCCTAATTGGTTCTATTTCTCCCTCTCTGGGATCCTCGGCTCTCCGTCACCGCGCAGCAACCCGCCCCGCACATACCCCTGAGGCTTGGCTCTCGCTCTCCCTGGAGAGCCCTCAGCTCCGCTCCCACGGCCAACCCTCGTGCCCTTCGGCCCGGCCCAACCCCACCTCACCCTTCCTCTCCCTTCGGGGCTCCAGGGAACCGAGTTCTGTCTTCCTTTTTTGGGTTGTTTAGCCGTGTAGGCAGTTGTAGCGAATGCTGGAATAGCTATTTTACCTGTTCGCCATTGCCGCTTGCTCTCCCCTTCTGCTGGCGGCACGGGAACGCGCATATGCAGTACAACAGCCAATAGGAACGCAGTGGTCTGAGCTGACCTTTGATTGGTTGATGCACATCAGCACGATACTGATTCTTTAGAGGCTGAACACAGAGCCATGGTGAGGTGCAGAAACCCATTGTTTGTCTCAGACCACTTGATTTACATTATGCTTAGAGGATATATATATTATATATATATATATATATATTTAACCTCACTGAACACAGGAGCTGCTGGTCAACTGCTGCCTCAATGGATTAGTTTGTTTGTGTTATTGTGTGATGTTGGTGAATCCGTACGAACTCCTTAAAACACCAAAGTCACACAATTACACAAGCAAACTAACTGAATGAGGCAGATTTAGACCAGCAGCTCCTGTGTTCAGTGAGGTTTAATTACAGTTTTTGTCAGTGGAGTCTGGCCAGAGAACCAAAAGCAAGCAGCATCATTTCGTTCCAGTGTGTGATTATAGGCAGCGAAATCAAAAGAGAGATGACTGGCATGACACGTAACACAGCAGTGTCGGCCTCTAGTGTGACATAAAACATACTTGTTGGCAGCGCTTTACAAACAATAACAATGGCAAAACATGGCCATAACAATTATGTACCATCTTTGTTATATAGCAGCTGATTCTCTCCTTTTCTTGGAGTGTTAGGAGCTCCTCATTACTTTGCCAATTTACTGATATTTATGGCCCCAGATTAGGTGATTGTGGAGTCATAAAATGACTGTGACTAAGCCGACAGACGTGACAGACTATGCAATGGTCCACGACCAATTCACGACATGCATGATGTCATCTGGTTATTCTTGTCCTCTTTTTATTATTACTATTATTTCAGTCACTAGGGCTGTTCACGTCCCAGATGAAATGTTACTGTAGTATAGTAAAAAGTGTACGGCTGTGACAGGAGAAGTCTTGAACGACAAAAAGAAAATCAAACATGCTAGGCTTTCTGTCGGGACTTTGTAAGGCTACCCAGACGAGGCATCGGTTGTCGTCTACCTATGACACACTGCATGAAATAAAATGATGGATTATCACATACGACACTCATTGTTGTTCACGATCTGAGCCGAAACCGTACGAAGCTGCCTTGTGCTATAATCGTGCTGATATCGTGTAGTGTGAACCAGGCATAAGAATAGTGTTCGTCAGTTTAACATGTATTTATTCACATTAGATGGTTGATATACAAATGGTCATTTGGGAGGTGAAGTGTTTTTTAACAATTAATGAAATGACTAGGTTTAATGTAAACTGAGTGGTGTAGGTTTCAGACATGGTAGCATTTTAACCGCATGACAAACTCAGAGGAGGCATAAGATGTGCTTTTATGTAAAATGTGGCTGTATTTCTATTTTTGTGCTAATTTTGACGACTGTATGAAGCTCATTATCACATATATATCTCACTGCACCCTCTCCATTGACTTATTTTATCTAAATGTCACATCTACCAGAACAAAAAACCTGATTATAACACCAGAATAATAAAACTTAAAACTTGTGGTAGTATCCCGGAGGCAAATCAGATTGCCAGGCTGGTCACGCCCCCCCCAGATCACTGCAAAAGAAATAATCACATCATGGACTGGGACAACGCAAAAATCATCGGATTGGAAAGCAACAAGTTCAAACGTTGGATCAAGGAGGCCATAGAGATCAGGAGGCTAGGGCCAGGAACACCATCAACCGGGATGAGGGGGCTTTCATGCTGTCGCACACCTGGGACTCTCTCCTACAAAGAACACCGGGTGGCGGGGGGGGGGCGTGACCAGCCTGGCAATCCGATTTGCCAGGCTGGTCACACCTCCGGGATACTACCAGCTAATAAAGACATGTCATGACGCACGTCAGATGACGCTTCTGAAGAAGACTGCAGTGACAGTCGAAACATGTCAAAGGTAAACTACACCTCCTTAAAAACTCATTGTCTGAAAAAAAGAAACCTTTCTACACTGAAGAACATTATTTCAACTGCATTTTCTTTAATCACATAAAATATGTGTTGTCATTATTGTCAGAATCCTCCCAGAGGCATCGTTATTTTATTCTAAACCCTTTGCTTTAACACTGTGTGTTTTAATTAGGGTTGTGTTTTGTGCTCTTGCCATGGCGTTAGCACTTGAGGGCTCAAGAGTCCTCTCGTCCTCTTGTACCCCGGCCAGTGATGAACATGAAGAAGCTCCTTCATGCAGAGAGTAATTAAGATTCTGATTATCCTCATGTTGTGTTGAAAATGAAAAATATGAAAGAGGAAAAATAAAACAGGGAGGATTTATCTTCAGTGGACAACAGCTGTGAGTGTTTTATCTTGTTGTTTATATTTGTACATTGTTTCAAGGTTATATTACATCCCTGCACACACCTTTGATTTGCTCACAGTTAGACACAAACAGCTGTGTGGGTCTTCTGTTTGTCATCTGAGCTCTATCTCTTGTTGTGAAAGTCTTTTACAAAACAGACTGCAGCAAATCTTCTCCATAAAACATCTTAGAAATCACATAACTAATAGGAGCGGCCGGGGTATTATGTGACATTGTGGAACTACGTGTGTAATATGCTGA